CGCTTGAGGCGCCGCAGAACTTCCCGACGTTGCTTGAAGCGCGTCCACCATAGACTTTGTATGTAAACCTGCTGCTCCTGACGCTGAAATCTTGTTCGGTGTGAATGCACCATAAGCTTTCATTGTGATTCTTGCAGAAACTGCTTATTTTTCTTGTTACATATGGATTTTAGGATTCCTTAGCAAGTGGATAAAAATTTGACCTGTTTGCTGACTTTRGCCCAGGTCTTCTTCAGACGGTAGATGGCGCTGCGGTTGAGAGCAGACGTTATCTCCAGCACTCCGTTGTAGTTGTTCAGACAGCGACAGATGTCCGCCACCGCTACCCACTTCTCAATGGAGTTGGCTCTGGAGCCAACATCAGTGTGACTCATAATCTGGGACGCCACCAGGTTGCTCATCTTCAAAAGGAAAGAGCAAAGTGAGGTTTAGGAAAACATCCTGGGCTTCTGCAGGGAAATAAAATATATGTTGCCTGAAAACATGGGGAGAAGTTACATCATTAAAGTGTTGACTTGTTTTCATGATGTAGGGTGTCCTTTCAGTTTTATCCACTTTCATCCAGCCCTGGCCCAGGAACTCTCTTAAAGAGAGAAAACAGAAACACCTGTTATGTTCAGATTTGACCAAACACATTTATTACAGCAAAAACGTCTCAAAAATTCAAACAACAGCTAAAATGAAATCTATCACTCAAAAACTTCACCAGTGAAGGTAAAAATAGCTGGATCTGATGGATGAAACTAGTTTAAGTCACTGAAAAATAATTATTTTTATCATGGTGCAACATATAAATATTCCACTTTTGTTTATTTTTTGGAAACAAGTAAGATTGTTCTTTATTTTGTTTATTTTTTAGACTCACAAATTACTGAGGTTAACAAGATCAAAACACAAATATATAAATGTTAGAATTWATGCAGATTGAATTTGTTTTACTCTGTTTTTCATACAGTCTAGATTAATGTGTCATTATGCAGAGGATCCAAATTGTTACACAAAGTTTAATTACTCTAATCTTGATCATCAGGTGTAACTGATGTTTTATAGAATATTTATAGCAGCAGTTATAACAACATGTCCTTAAAATAACACTCAAAAATCTACTGGATGTATAAATTTAACATGTGGTTGAACTATTTTTTTCACCCCGTTTAGCTAAAGACATGCAAAATATTCACAAAGGTGGTTTTGTTTCCCTCCCATTAAACAAAGAAAGTGTTCTGAGAKGACTGACTCATAGGGAATGCTCCTGAAGACGATGTGATCCAGTAGCGTGATCTGCTCGGCCAGCTCCATCGCTGACAGAGACTCAAAACACTCCGCCTTTGGACAGTCCGCCTAAATAACACACAGACACACAGAAATATACTCATAAACAACAAGGAGGTATAAATATCTAACACAGAGGCTGGCTCTGATGAATACAGCTGATGACAGCTGGCTGTCCCCCAGAGACAGACGCTCACCAGAAGGTGTCTTTATCCTCCACTGCCTGGTGCAGAGGACAAACTGAGGGCTGACCAAGACTTCACATCCAACAAAAGCATTACATGTGTAGCCCAGGTATTTGTGAGACAGAAGGATCAACCCAGAAAGTGATTCAAAAAAAGAATACTCTAGCACTGATGTGTTATACGTACAGATATAGATCWTATCACGTAATAACAAGAGGAAATGTATTTTCTGTGAAAATTCAGTGTGAAAGTTGACAGCTTTTAATTTGCTGACATTTTCTGAAAAAGCTGAAACTGAGAGGCTAAAGCAAAAAAGAGCATTCAGTTAAATCTAAAAGAAGAAAAACACAAGCTAGAGAATGAAAAATGTCAGTTAAAAGCCAAAAGTAGTAATGCCTGCGAACACTAACTAAAGGCTAAATGTAACAAAAGTGTATTTAAAAGCAAAATGTAATCAGAGTGGTTATGAGCAATGGTAAACATGGTAAAAAGAATCTAAAAGTAGCAAAAAGCTAGCTAAAATCAAAAGGTTGTTTGCTTGTTAAATCTTGAAAAAGTAAGCTAAAAGCTAAACTGTAGCTAAAAACTAAATGAAGCTAAATGCTAGTTTGAATTTAAAGGTAGCAGAAAATTTGCTAAAAAATATAAGTAGCATCTGTAGACAAAAATAATGCAAATATACTGAAGCAGATTTAAAAGAGAATTATATTTTTGAAGAAATTGAAGAAAATATTTGCAGATAAAAATTAATATTCTGAACAGTATCAAAAATTATAAAAACCAAAAGTTATAGCAACCCAATGAACTTTGTAGCACGAACTAGAATAAAAGAAAAATAAAACCCTAATGCTGAATCAGCGTTAACATGATCAGATGCAATATTTCTCTGTCAGTCTACCGTTTATTCGGGTTAAAGGCACAGTGTGTAGGATTTGTTGTTTTCAGCAACATCTAGTGGTTGAGTGGTTGAATCATCCTCCCTGTCC